TGTGCCAATTAATAACCAAGGAACAAACCCTGTAGCACGTCATTCATTCATTCATTCATTCATTCATTTATTCATTTCTTTCTCCAGGGATCATTTACCACACATCTACTTTGTGTGATAGGTTCTATGCACAATTTGAAGACTGTAGAGAGGAACAAGACAGAACATTTAATAGAGATATACAAGAGAAATATACCATACAGTGAAATAGTTACCACAACTAATTAGTTGAACAAATGTTTCTTAAATATCTACTACTTGCTAAGCACTGTACTTCCTAGGCACTGAGGATACAACCATGAATGAAACAGACAGAATCCCTAGCCTCATGGAAGTGACATAAATGGCAGTCTGGAAGAAAGATCAGTGGTTAGTGGCTGGCAGAATATAGGGAAACTGAAGAGGAGGTGTGGTTTGAGCTGGAACTTGAAGGCCAGTGCCCTTCCTGGTAAAGTGGCTGGGAAAGGTGTGCTAGGGAATTGACCTTGAAAGTAAACTTATAGAAATAAGAATGGAAAAATGGCAAGTGGTACCATGCGCATGTGCACAAGTCACAGAGCGGAAGGGGTCTGCTACAGTCTCTCCAGCGTAAGTACACTGGAGAGATGGCTGTGTGGATAAAGACACTTGCTCCCCCCCCCCAATGAACTGACTCTGGGGTGGTTGAAGAAGAAAACTGAGAGAACTGACTACCACTTTTCCTCCAGGTTCCACAGGTACACAGGGGCATACATGCATCCCACACACAGACATACATAAATGTTTAAAAAAGAAGAGCTACAGTCAGAGAAAACAGTCCAAAGCCAAAGCCTTAGCATCTTTTGAAGGCCACCCTGGCTAAAAGTGAAGGGCACCCAATGACATTTGCTCATGTTCTTGTACTTGTTAATTGGGACCTCACCCCAATAGGCTCAGTCATGTACTCCCCCCAACCCCCATCAAGAAGTGTTTCGAATTCTGGGCTAAGATCCTTCATTTAAAAAAGCAAGCTTAGGGCTCAGTGGGCTAACGTGCTCAGCTCATCAGCCAAGCCTGATGACCTGAGGTCCATCCTGGGGACTTGCCCACAAATAAATAAATAACTCTTTAAAGGAAAGCCTATTTTGGAAACGCTGAAAAATTTTGAATAAAATAAAACTTAAATCTAGAACATTAGGCTTGAGTATTTTGTGCAACGATGATTCCTACGTTGGCTAAAATAGAAAAACACCCACATACTAAGAATGGACTCTGAAAGCAATGCTTTTTATGATTAAAATTTCTATGTGGTATCTGTTAAAAGGATTTTATTAGTGGATGCTAAAACTATCTGGCTTTCATTGTCATTTTGTCAGGCTTTCATACATAGCCTAGGGTGGCCTTGAACTCAACATCCTTTTGACTCTGAGTCCAGGCATTACAGGCACACACCACCATGCCTTGCTGGCTTTCACATTTCCATACATTTGATGGCTCATCCCTGACAGATAACCTTGAAGTTCTCCTTGAACTCTTCTGATGAGTCAGTACAGAGCACATTCCTACACCTTGCTACGCCTTGGTTTTATCAGCTGTGAAATGGAGCAAATAATAGCACCTACATCTCAGGGCTGCTGAATTGAATTCATGTACAGTGTATGTAGTGAAACATCTGCCATGGGAGAGGTCAAAATAATGGGCCATGACCCTGAGTCTGTAGCTTGGGAGGGATCCCTAGTATGTAGTAGGAGCAATTCCATCACCAGAAGCACATTTTCTTCGATCTGTCTTTCTCTAGAAACCTCAAAAGGACTATAGCCCCATTTAAGAAATGGGCTGGATATGCTGGTACATGCTTGTATTCCCCTCAGCACTCAGAAGGTGAATCACAAAGATTGTCAATTCCAAATTAACCTGGGATACATAGCAAGACCCTGCCTCAACCAACCAAGTAATCAATCAATTGATCAACTAAAATAAAATTTGCTTTCCTGGAAAAAAGTTGCTTTCTTGGATGTAAACACACACACACACACACACACACACGTTCATACATGTGCACAAAGTTGGTTTCCAATTTTCTTGATGGAAAAACTGATGGAATGGGACATGACTCAAGACAGCCATGGAGCTGAAGTAGGATGATAATTTCTGTGGTTACTTGTCTAATTGGCAAGTAGGGTACTTTTGCCTTTAAGCCTGAGTGCTTTCTATCCTGACCTTTGTTTCTAGACTGAAGCTACTTACTACAGGGCTTTTAAAAACTATTTTGCAGTGCCGAGAATTGCATCCTGGCCTTGGGCTGGTAGGGCAAGCATTCTATCCACCGAGCTACATTCCCACCTCTTCCAGCTTTACAGCTGAGTTTTTACAATGAATGGACTCCTGAACCCTGAGCTTACTTGCAAAAGTGAAAGGAGACCATTGCCTTTAAATGTCCCAGGGGATTGTATCTTCACAGCAGTTTCTTTCCTTGGGGAGTGAAAGCACGGGATTGGGCAATCAGGTGAGGGCCTCATTCCTTGAAATACTTTGAGAGCAAAGGGAGCTCCAAGGGCCCCGGTGATTGCACAGGGTTGCCTGGCTAAGTAGCACACACTGCTTGGGAGGCCGGATATAGTTTTGGCCTTTGCTCCCTTTCATAATCAGTGTTGTAAAATGAAACCACATGTGCCTGTTGTTCAGTCCATTCCAGGAGTGTCCTTTTCTTCCTTTACAACCTTTGTGTGATTCACTTTCTATTCAACACATGTGGAATTTTCCTGAGCCTGCTCTTTAAAAAGGAGCAAATTAGGCTGGGAATATAGCTTAGAATTCTTACCCGCCGTGCACAAAAACCCTAAATTCCTCTCCAGTACTTCCAGAAAAGAAAAAAAATGGACAGATCAAGGAGACATTACTTACACTAGCTTCCCATCAGTGATAGGAAAATAAAATATCTTGATAAAGCAATTAACACTTACAAAATTGTATGGAGGCTTAGAAGTACAACCTAGTTATGTAGCATTTGCCTAGCAGAAATAAGACTTTGGTTCTGATCCCCAGCGTAAATAAATAAGTACAAAGACAAGTGGACAACAACCACAAAAACAAAACAAGGTGTTCAAAAATATTCTCTAAAAAGTCTAAGGACTTTCCACATGTTAATCCCTTTAATTGCTGCATATTCCCCTCGCCCCCAGGTAGGCTCTATCATTATTCTTGTGCTCCAGATGGAAAAACGGAGGCAAAAAAGCAGCTAGGTAAAGGTTGACTATCAAGTGAAACACTGTAGCATTTGAAAAGCCCAAAACCTTGTGAACTGTCCTGAGCCGGAAGCCTAGGAGAGGTGTGTTAGGCTGTCGGGGAGATCAAGCAATAAGGAAATCCCAAGCTTAGATCTGCCACTGCCTGGGAATACTGCTTTGGCTCTAAACCCTTTCCTCTCCTCCAACTCCATAGCAGGAATGGATCCAGGTCTTACAGAAATATCATCTTCAGGGATTTAAGAGCCTCTTAAAAAAAAAAAACAACCTTATGAAAATTTTACCAAACTATCTCAACAAATAAATGCATTGCAGGTCATGGGGGAAACCACAAATTAATAGGCTCCTTTAATTCAATTCAGTTTTGTCTCCGAAACGGGTCCAGTAAAAGCAACCGCCCAATCTGTCACTTGAACAGTGTTTATATCTGTTGCTGGGATACCGAAGGCTCTTTTGAGCCTTAGCTAAGAGGGGCACCATGCCTCTGACCTTGTTCACCTGCACACACACAGCAAATAATGGCTAAAATGATAGGAAAGTGCCTCCAAACATTTGGAGTGTAGCACAAGGCATTCCCAAATTGCAGCATCCAGTATTTGTTGTTAAAATAAATTTCAACCTGCATACAGAAGTGCGCATTTCACATAATACGACAAGGCTTTGAAAAGACAGATGTTAATTATTGGGAGGTAAATCGGATCACCTCTGACCTACAACCCTGAGCTGTAATTTTGTGGCTCTGCTTCTTGGTCCCGAAATTGATGTAAATCTTTACATTTGTAATTTTACGCACCCACCCACACAGTCTGTAAATGACTGCTGTGAGTCAAAAATGATGCCGTTCCAATTGTGTTAGGTATTTGCAACTGTGCTCTGCTCTGGGAGGATTAAATCACCCAATTCAATTCCTTTAATTGCTTCCATGTAAAAACGATGGAGCTGGAGGATGTCTAAATTGGAAGGAACTTTAGAGCTTGTCTTTTCCCCAGACTCTTTCTTTCGTGGATGACAAACTAAGGCTCTGATGTTAGAAATGGTTTGGTGTTGCCCCTGGTTGTTCAGTGATCATGGCTAAAACCCCAAAAGAAAGTACTATTTGGGGGTGTTAATAAAGGACTCCACTCAGCAAATGGTGCTCAGAGTCTAGAAGCTACCTCTTCCCTGCCCTCTTGCCTCCAACAACATCTGTGAGCCTTGGCTCTGGTTGAATGACACTCTTAAAAAACAAACAAACAAAACATGACAGTTTAAAATCCAACTTGTGAGAATATGGTTCTGATAAAATTAGCTACTGTTGTAACATTAAGCATGAATTTGATGAGAATGAATAGATAGACTAGAAACTGCCAATAATGGTGACTTTCGAGGTGATGCTAGGCATGGAAGAGGCAGATGGATGGAGAGCTCTTTACTTTGCATTTTATACCTTGTCTTTACAATTTGGCTATGATTACAACCTGCAGACATTAACTATATTGAAAAACTAAAAGGCAACTTACAAACACCATACCCACAAATATAAAGGAGAAATAGAATGCACCCTAGTAACACTGATGCCTGAAAAGCCATTGCATGGTCCAAAAATACTTTGAAAATATTTTTTTCTCCCAAAGTATTTGTAACAGCTGAGACTGAATGGACTTCCCCCAGGGGTCTGGGGGAAGTGACAGAAATGGTCCTTGTTTACAAGAACTCACTTTACACTTTAGGTTTTAAAAATACTTTCTAATTAATAAGCCTTTAGTCTAGCACATCTGCATCTCTTTTAATAAAAAAATAATGGCTTAAATGACTTACCCTCCAGGAAAGCTGTCCCTCTGGGAAGCCACCCCTTGTCTTTCCCCGGCGGTCTGGAGCACCCGCACCACACGGCTTCCAGAGGCAGAGTGGAGAGGCCCTCTAGAATAGGAAGCGCGCTGTGCAGGAGCTGACCTGTATTCTGGCTCTCTCACCTGGAATCAGGCTCCACAGATCCTGTTATGCACTGAATAGTAACAAAACAACAGCATAAATTAGGGTGTTGCTAAGATTGTGTACCATCAACGTTTGCATGAGCATAATGGATGTAATGAATTCTATAGCACTATCCTGCACAGCTTGGAGAGATTAAAATCACTTTGTCTTTAAATTAAATTTCAAAAAACATTGAACAACAAGAATAGCAAGAACAACAACAGAACCCACCTCATCTGTGTCAGGCACCCAATGGCAGGAGGTACCACTTCTTGCTTTCTGATATTAATGCCCAGTCCTACGTTTATTTAATAGCTGGCAGCTCAGTGAGCACACATCTATTGTAATAACCATAAAGGGGGCTTGGGTCCTCTTGTATTGTGTTTGCAACCCTAAGTGGAGAGCCTCTTATTCCCTTTCAGGAACAAAATCTATAACTGAAAGGCCTGGGCTGAAGTTTATTTTATATCAATGCTTCACAATGTGGTATGTCTAATTTTTTTAAAAGGTGGGTTTGAATTTATTCATACTTTGTTCAATAGAAATGGATACCGAATTGCAAAATAAAACCTCACATTGGGGTGTTGATTAGACGCCATGTGTCATACCTACTACTCAACATGGTTCTTCATCCTCCAAGAAATATGGCTTGCATCACTATCTTGTCATTTTACCAGTGAGGCAGCTGAGGCTCCCAGAGATTAACTGAGTTGCCTGAGGTCATACAGTATGAAAATCCAGTTACTTCTTCTGATCATAGAACTCTGGTAGCTCAACTACCTCCTGATGATCACCGGTACCATTTAGAGTGCTTATTACTTATTTTCTGGGGCATCTGGTTCCCATAGACAATTTAGCCTTTGTCCCTACCCAGAGACAGGTGTCATTATCCTCATCATATGCATAAGAAAACAGATGCTTGGAGAAATGAAGTGACTTGCCAAACTTAGGCTACAGATTTTTAGCTCAGATCTCTGTGATACCAGAATGGTATTGCTTTTTAAAATACTTCCCCCAAGAAACATCTCGGATGATGCTTTTCATCTTCAGTGCCTGAACAAAGAACCACCATCAGAGATGAATGAATTGAGGCAAAGCAACACCAAGTGCCAGCTTCACACAGAAGAGAATGCTATTGCCTCCTTGTCAGCAATACAGAGCTCCTAACTAAGGTATCCTGTGACCCAGGTGCTTGGCCAGTAGGTGCACAGCAAAAGACCCAGCATCTCCCAGGTGTTAATAGGTCCCATTATTTGTGAACAGCCTGAACACATACCAGTGAATAGGATGTGTTTCTGAGCTTCATCTGTGCATGTCATTGCCCTTCTTACTTCCTATACATGCCGAGACTTGACAGGATGGGATACTTTATTCTTCGTGTTAATCTCATAGTACTGGCAAAATCCACTAGATTTCTGAGCCCTAATGAACTTTATGAAACTGCACATGGTTCCCTGTGGAACCCAAGTAAGAGCTTATTCAATAGAAACATGAACACCACCCCCAGGTCTGTGACCATGTCAGGTAAGATGCAGGTGCTGTTTGTCCTTTGTAAAAGGAGTTTGGAGGTTGTGGCTGTCATCCAGCCCACTCCATAATCTTGAACAGCACTGAAATCTCAGCACTTCAGAGGAACAGCACCAGCCCTAATCCTGCTTTGAATGAGATTAAAAACCAGTTGGAGCCAGGTGAAGATGAAAGGCAATTGGACAAAAACTGTGACTCTGGTAAATGTATACTTCAAGTAATCACTTAAATGAGTTAATATTCATTTGAAATTGAATAACTTAGCTTATGTTGCTTGTAGAAAAAGCATGTATATGATACTTTTTTGGGAGAGAGCTCATACTTTGACAGGCCAGACCAAAAATTCACACATTAGCCAAGTTATTCCTTGTAAAGTTGATGGTTGACAATTGGTTTTAAAAGTTCTTCATCTCATCTGGGTGGTGAAGTGGAACTTAAACCTTCACACTCAGGAGGCAGAGGAAAGCAAGTCTCAGAGTTCAAGGACAGCCAGGGCTACACAGAGAAACCCGTCTCAAAAAGCCTCTATTCAAATGTAGTGCTTACCCACACAGAAAGCAGACTTTTATAAGGAAAGAAACAAACTGTCTTTAGATATTTTTATTTCTTCAATTTTTATTATCAGGAGTGACTGAAATAAAAAATATAATTGAGTCCCATCATTATTGTCATTATGGAAATGGCTTTAAGAGAAAACTGGTCAGATGAATATTATTGCTTCCCACTTTTCAACTGGTAAATAGTTGCCATTGATAAAACAGACAAGCCCAGAGAATCTGTCCAGAATGTTCAAGATATGGTATATTATACAACATGCCTGCTCTTGGGGAGACACCTAAGACATAATTATGTGTACTTCTTGATCTCATCGTACAGAACAAGCACAAAAGCACCACCCATGCCCCTGAGAACATTGGACCATGCACCCTTGAAAAAAGCCTTGCTTCCTTCATCACGAGCAATCTTCCTCCAGCAGTCAATTGTGCCTGTATACATGATGTCAGCTGCAAAGGATAAAGACATGGAGTTGATCACTAAAGGCCAATGAACGCCCACATATTCAAAACACTAAAGAAAACAGCCCCACCTTTAAAAAGTAATTTCAGGTTTTTTTTTTTTGGGGGGGTCGATGCTGAGGATGGAACACTGGGCCTTGTGAATGCTAGGAAACTTTTACTGAGCTATTCCAAGCACTTAGTCAGTTTTTAAGTCCAGTATTTACACATTAGTATAGGCAATAGGGAAGTATTAGTATTGTGATTGGGAGAACAGGGATGACCTCTTAATATAAGTACTCCAAGTCATAGGCATCTAGAGGGCTGCTTGTCCCCATGGATGATGTCACCTTTATCCCTTCACGGTCTACAGTGTTTTATGCCACTGGAGACTGAATCCAGGGACTTGAGTATGATGGGCCACTTTTTTTTAAAGGTAGTCATTAGTAGTCTGTGGCCACAATTTGTCCCATGCCCATGACTTTTATCTTATGTGCAAGAAGAACGTACTTCCTTTGCGTCCAGACTGCATCATCATACGACGACGAACCGTGTCAAAGGGATAGGAAGTCAGGCCAGCAACAGCAGTGACAGACTGTGCAATCATCCAGCTGATGAAGATGTGAGTATTCTTGGGATCTGGAAGCATTCCTGAAAGATATATATATATATATATTTAGTCAAAATGCAGTTTTGCCAATCTATTTTCTATATCCAAGCATCATTTTATCTACCACGTTTTATATTGGAAGAATTTGCTTTCCTTCGGCAATTAAAAACAAAAGTTGGCCTTTTGCAATGTTAGGTAGGTGCAATGATCTTTCAAATCATCTCTTAATGGCTTTATGCCAGGTGGTGGTGGTGCACCTTTAATCCCAGCACTCAGGAGGCAGAGGCAGGGGGATTTCTGTGATTTGAGGCCAGCCTGGTCTACAAATGCTGGTTCCAGGATAGCCAGGGCCAAAGAGAAACCCTGTCTCAAAAAACTAAAATCTAAACCAAAGCCAACTAACCAAACAAAAAGACACCCCCCCCCCCCCCCAAAAAAAAAAAAAAAGAAAGCAGCTTCATACAAGCCTGCAATCTCAGGTACTTGGGAACCTGAGGCAGAAAGACCTTGAACCTAAAAGGTCAGCCTGGGCTACCTAGGGACCTTATCTAAGAAAGCACGGGATGGGTGTGGCAGTAGCACACACCTTTAATCCTAACACCCAGGAGGCAGAGGTAGGTGGATGGCTGGGAGCTGGAAACCAGCCTGGCCTACAGAGTGTGATGGTCTCAAAGGAGACAGAAACAGGGAGAGAAACCAGGGCTTGGGGATACAGCTCAGTACTGGATTAGTATATGCAAGGCTGTTAGGTTGAGTTCCCAGCACTGCAAACACCCAAAGCTCCCACAACTTCTAAGCATATAGCATACTTACCCTTTGCAGTGTCATAGATACCAAAGTAGGCAGCTCGGTAGATGATAATGCCCTGTACTGACACATTAAAGCCTTGGTACAGGCCCCTAATCCCATCAGATTTGTAGATCTTAACCAGGCAGTCACCAAGGCCTTTGAATTCCCTTTCAGCTCCAGCTTTGCCCACATCAGCTGCTAGACGGGTACGGGCAAAATCAAGAGGATACACAAAGCACAAGGATGTGGCCCCAGCGGCACCACCTGATGCCAGGTTCCCTGCAAAGTAGCGCCAAAACTGGGTCCTCTTGTCCACACCACCCAAAAAGATCTGCTTGTATTTATCTTTGAAGGCAAAGTTGAGAGCCTGGGTGGGGAAGTATCTGATGACATTGGCCAGGTTACCACGCCAGAAGGACAGGACTCCCTGTTCCTTGGGGATACGAACCACACAGTCTATAATGCCCTTGTATTGCTTATCTGCCGTGATTTGCTTGCTGGCATGCTGCACCTGGTGGACAGGAAGAAGGCAATAGGGACAGTTATAACCACACAGAAGGGAAACGGGACGAACACGCACATAAAATCTTTAAGGTTGGTTCCCCTTTCTCCAAATCTAGCTGGACACTCCTAACTGCTCACACTATCACAGCGGTTAAGAATTGATCTGCACCACCAGAAGTGGTAAGCCTCCACCTCTGTGAATGGGGCACCCCCAAGTGGACCTATGACCTTTAGACCTGGAAGAAAGGTCATTCCCTCCACGTCAGGTTCCGCGGCATCAGGGTGGGACCCGCATAGGACTGGGTCACCTTGGTGACAGCGATCAACTCCTCAGGTCTCCTGAGCCTCTTCCTTTCCGCCCCACCCCCACTTTTGTTCTGGGAGGGGGAAGGGTGACGGAAGGCTCGCTCTCGAGTGCCCTCTAGAGGCACAGCGCAGCAAGTGCGCCGCAGGAAGGCCGGCGAGGGGCTGCGCGGGGGCGGACGTAAGAGGCACATGCTCTTCCCGGCGTCCACTTCCGGCCTGCCGGCCGGCGAGGCTAAACCGCGTTGTTCGCAGGCGGCGCGGCGGCGGAACCGGCCCGCGTGGCCTGCCCAAAGCTGTAATCTCCTTGCCGTGACCTTGAGGTTCTCGGTAAGGCCAGGTGTTATTCTCCAGCGCCTGCTTTCGGGCCTATTGTCCCTAACCCTAAAGCCGGGGCAGACGGTGACTCTCAGGCTGCCCTCTCCTAGTTCTGTGCTGGGGATGGCCCCAAGCGCCTCAGCTCCCAATCGCCCCGACCACTTGCGACACTCAAACTCCAGGTCCTTAAAGGCGCCTTCCTCCACTTGGCCTTTTGGTCTGACTCTGTGGCCAGGCCCGACCTTCACCTTACCCCAAGTCTAAAGATCGAGCCCCACTCTCCCGCTAGGGTACCCCCCTTTCTGTGCGGACCCCCCACTTCCTGCCTGGGCCCCCCCCCCGATCCCAGGACGTACCTGCAGCAGCAGCTTGACCCGCTCGAT